AGCCAAATTGGTAAACTGGACAAAGTGCTATAAAGATGCCATTTTGAAAAGAAAATACATATGGACAAGACTACTGATGAAATAGGCCAAGAAATACCAATGAAAACAACTTAGTGATACATTTTGCATCTGTTAAATCAACAAATATATAAAATAAGCATGAGATTAATGAATACATTCACAAAGAGCTAGTGATACTCTCAAGTAATAGGCTTTTGGAAAGCAAAATGAAAAGATATATCAAAAGCTAAATCAAAATTTCTATCTATGATTCCATAAATGTACTCCTGAAAATTTATCCCAAGAAACTAATTCAACAGAAGACACAAATTTATATGCAGAAAAATGCTTATATTGGCATAATCAGAAGCAAACTAAAGGTCAACTGCAAGAGTATGACCGAAACTGCACACACTGTTCACTCGTATAATATTATATGGCAATTATAATTGTAAAAATTATGGAGAAGTACAAACTTTCTCTAAAATATTAACTAGTAGAATACAAAACTACACACTGTAATTAAATTGATCTAAAGTATTTGTGTATAGGACAATGTAAAAAAGAGGTACACAGTGAAATAAGTTGTTAGGAAAATAGAATTATGGGTAACATTTTTTAAACATTTTTTAAAATATACTGGTCTTACAACAAAAAACATGTATGCAAGTAGAGGGGAAAATTGCCTATGACAGACAATTAAGAATTAACTGCAATTGAAAATTTTTAACTAATCGCTTACCATATGCTTCTTCAATGAGAGCACAGTATGAATTAATGCCTACGCCATTCTGCTTAGATTCTTGTTCTCCAAGACGTAAAATATTTTCAAGTCCATTTAAAGCCACTTGAACTATTTTGGAGTCCATAACAGTCAAAAGGTCACAAAGTGGTTTAATGCAGCCTAAGGCTACCAAATACCTTCAGAATAATTTAAAAAAGAGAAATGGAGGGAAGATTCAAAAGATTTAAATAAACACTGTTTACTGTAATAACACAAAAATATTCTTCATAATGAAATGGTATATAAGCAATTAAGAAACATATTCCTGTGCAAACTCAAATATTACAAACATTTAAATTTTTATCTACAAACGAATCTAAAAACCTTTATTCTTGTAGTCTTTAATTTACTATAATTAGCAGTAAATGGTATTGCAAATTACAAAGTATACACATGGGAAAACTGGCACTTACATCTCTTTTTGCATGGTATATGAGCACTAAGAATCATATGTTCAACCTGTTTTTCAAAAGGGCAAGTCTACGTATACACATAGGGGTCATTTGGTGAGAGAGACAGATAGGGAGAGGGAGAAGAGTCATCTAAATTAAATTTTAGAAAAATCTTTTCTCACAAAAAGAATCC